TGTTTAGTACTGTACTTGCCTAGTTGTGCTTGCGGGGGTTGAGCTTCGGCTCCTTGGTCCCGCCAGTACTGTTGAACTATATTAGAGATAATCTGACCAGCTTGTGTTTCTCTCCAGGTCCAAGCTGATTATTAGATAAAACTTTGTCTAAGGCCACTAAGCTCACCTGTGGAGGTGCTGCGTCCCCAACACCATGGTGTTGGGCTTATCAAGCTCCCCACCAGGCCTTATCAAGGCCCCCACCAGGCCTTATCAAGCTCCCCACCAGGCCTTATCAAGCTCCCCACCAGGCCTTATCAAGCTCCCCACCAGGCCTTACCAAGGCCCGGGCCAGGCATGTTAAACTGTGGATTTCCCCGGGGGAGGGAAAGGAAGAACCTCCACCTCCATTTAAAACTTTGACCCAAATATCACAATAACAAGGTAATCGCTAATAACCGAACTCAATTACGGGCTCACCATAGCCCGTGCTACATGGATATTTCGTTCTGAGTAGCTAATTCTAAAACAACAACACCTACAACCACTTGACTACCATTGGCTGGTTCTTTAAACACACGATCACTGACTCTTGAAAGTGATGAGAAATGTTCATAAGTTTGTGAACTATTAGACCAGACTGATATACATTTCACATTAAAACTAGATTCAAGAAGCCACAGTATTGGGCAGACAACGAAATGCTTTTTCACACGTCAATACTCGTCCAGGGAATACGATGAACTTGACTGTTGCAAACCTTCTCCACAGTGTAATAGGTCTGCTCCCTGGAAAGTACGGAAAATAGAAATAGAAATTGTACCCCTCAAGGTGGGAAAAAATGATTCATCATGAACCGGGACAATTACGGTGTTTGTATGGAAGCATGATATCTGGGTTACCAAGAGGCAACAGTTTATATGTATATTGTGACGGGTCGGTGGCGGAGGATGGCAGGGCCGGGTGTGGTGTCTTAATAAGAGAATATACTGAGTTTGGGACTGTGGACAGGATAATTGAACTTCGACCTAGTAATTATATATCATCCACACAAGCTGAACTGCAGGCCATTCTGGCGTGTTTGGAGGAAGTACGTCATGACGACAAAAATGTTTTTGCATTTGTCGATAGCCGAGGAGCACTGGAGTCCTTAAACAGTCGAAACCCAGTCTTCATGTCCATAGTTGAGGATTGTAAGAAAAGGATAACCGAGATACAGCTGAAAGGTTACAATGTGAAGTTCATGTGGATTCCATCTCATGTTGGAATAGTGCTCAACGAGGTGGCGGATGACTTGGCCAAACGTGCCACATCAAAACCACAAGTTGACATTGAATGTATTTTAACAGTGAGACAAATAAGAAGCAAAATCAGAAATATTCAGGCACAGGCAGAAGTGGCGAGGAGAGGTATAATGTATGAGGGAAGCCAAACCAGCAACATTACATGTATGCGAGTCAAAACACCAACATTTCACTTATGGTAAAAGGAGAAATGCTTGGAGTGACTGTGTACATGCGGCTCAGGCTTGGGTACAAATATTACTGGGAATATGGGATAGATGTTCATGATAATGACACGAAGTGTAAGCTATGTGGTATGTTAAGGTCTCACACCCTTGCCCATTATGTTCTTGATTGTCCGTTGATTAACGTATATAGAAACATTGAGATAAGGACTGTTCCTGAACAAATAGCCTGGATGTGTCACAACGGAAAGGTTGATGATATTCTGGAGAGATATAAGAATATTGCACCAAGACTGTAACCTCTTGGTAAATTGTCTGAATGTCTCTTGCAAATTGTCTATATACCTAGTCATAAAGTATTTGTGTGTACGTCTGATACCATACTACTTGTGTAAAGGAGGAAATGTATATGTTTATCACTCAGAATGTTCGGTAATATGTTAATTGTTCGTGATGTGTGTCTATATATGTATGAACACGTTGTACTGAACGGGGTGAGAATAGCTTGAGCTACCTCATACCTTTGTGAGTATTTTACCTCAATAAACTTATTTCAATTTCAATACTCGCGCAAACGCCTACCCGAAGCTGTAAATGCCATGAAGTTTTGTTCAAAATTCACCTGTGGAAAATCCTCGGGAACCTTAAACAAGCCGTAAACATTCCTGGTCCCGTCCAGTGCAAGAGAGATGGTAGCCCTCAGGCTGGTCATGCTTGCGGCTCTCAAGGCACGACACCACACTGACCAGGACGGCGCCACTGGGGTGACCTCAGCACACGACGCCACACTGACCAGGACGGCGCCACTGGGGTGACCTCAGCACACGACGCCACACTGACCAGGACGGCGCCACTGGGGTGACCTCAGCACACGACGCCACACTGACTAGGACGGCGCCACTGGGGTGACCTCAGCACACGACGCCACACTGACCAAAAAGGCGCCACTGGGGTGACCTCAGCACACCACCATCGACCTGTGGAGGGATTACTCACGTCCCTTAAAATTAACTTCTTTTGAAGTTGTCGCAAATTTTGATTACTATTTTTAAGAGTACTGGACAACAAAATTTGTTGCTCTCACGCTTTACTATTATAAATAGTCAAATTGTTAATTTTATATAAGAGTAATGTGCATTCGTAACAAATTTAGCCGTCGTAACTGAATGCAGAGGCTGTGTATATAATCCCCCTACCCGCTGAAGCTGTAAGTGCCAAAACTCGATTGGAATTTTAAAATACAGCTAGAAAAAATTCAAGACAAATGGGAGGGGGGACCTTTGACAAGCCGCCGGCTTCCTGTCCTGGTCGCGGCCACTAGAATGTTAGTGAGCCTCGGATAAATTCAGGAATTAGTAAAGTCCTGTCGCGTCAAATTCACCGCTTTGGATGAGAAACCCTGTTTAAGTTTTAATGTCAGGTTTGGTTAATTAGGTTAATAATTGTAAGTCTACAGAAATATGCAGTTGGCAACATTACACTTGACGCCAGAGTTATTTGCTTTACTAGTACTATTATCTGGGTGTATTTTAGTGGAAATGCAAAATTTTATATTGCATAAAGTTACTCGTTCTCGCACTTTCATTAAGTCAATATTGACTTATTAAATAAGTGCATATGTGACATACTAATTTATTGTGAATATTTTAGTTTACCTTGAGAAGCTTCATAGAAAACACCGACCTTACCTAACCTTTTTTGTATGTTAAGATAAGCATCTTATTGCTTCGTAATTACAATTATTACTTAACCTATTATAGGTATAGGTTGAGTAATAATTGTAATTATGAAGCAATAAGATGCTTATCTTAACATACTAAGAAGGTTAGGTAAGGTCGATGTTTTCTATGAAGCTTTTCAAGGTAAACTAAAATATTCACAATAAATTAGTATGTCACATATACACGTATTTAATAAGTCAATATAGACTATAAGAAAGTGCGAGAACGGGTTGCATAAAGGTATTCATGAAAACAGCGCAGTTCCTCATTGCACGGTGGCTAAAGTATTGACGGGTGACTCAAGTAATCGGATTAGCAACGGCGCAGTTGGGTTACTCACTCAGTTGTGCTTGCGGGAGTTGAGCTTTGCCATTTTGTTCCCGCCTCTCAACCGTCAATCAACTGGTGTACAGGTTCCTGAGCCTACTGGGCTCTATCATATCTATATTTGAAACTGTGTACGGAGTCAGCCTCCACCACATCACTGCCTAATGCATTCCATTTTTGTTAACTCTGACACTGAAAAAGTTTTCTGATGCCTGTGGTTCATTTGAGTACTACGTTTCCACCTGTGTCCCCTTGTTCGCGTTCCACCCGTGCTAAATGGTTTCTTTGTCCACCCTGTCAATTCACCTGATAATTTTGTAGGTGGTGATCATGTCTTCCCTAACTCGTGTCTTCCAGGGACGTGAGGTTTAATTCCTGTAGCATTTCCTTGCAACTCATACCTCTCGGCTCTGGGACTAGTCTGATGGCATATCTTTCAGTCTTACCTAACTTAATATTTTATTTATCTAGGTATGGACTGCAGGCTGGAGCTGCATGCTCTAGGATTGGTCTGACATGTGTGGTATACAAGGATCTGAATGATTCCTTACTCAATGATTCATTTTCCTTACTTCTGCTTCCTTCACATATGTTTATTACTTTACACTTAAATCTCTAATAACCATTTTCTGGACCAATCCTTCAGTTTGTCCAGGTCGTCTTCTGGTCTCTTTCTATCGTCTGGCTTTATCGTCCTCATAATTTAAGCATTATCAGCAAACATTGAAAGGAATGAGTCAATACCCTCTGGAAGATCGGTTTTCATATATCAGAAACAGGATGGGTCCAAGTACGGAGCCCTTAGGGAAACTGGCCTGTAGTTCAGTAACTCTTGACTGTCACCCTTTTCGTATATTGGGACTACATTAGCTGTCTTCTAGTTTTCTGGTAGGTCTCCTGTTCCCAATGATCTCTTATACACCATTGAGAGTGGCACACATGGTGCTTCTGTACCCTCTTTTAGTATCCATGGTGAGATTATCTCGGGCCCAGCAGCCTTTACCATGTCCAATTTTTGACCTCATCACTGGTGATCTCAAAATCTTTCAAAGTTGCTTGGTTTACTGCCACTTCTTAGTACAGGGACTTCTTGCTCTACCGTAAAGACCTCCTGGAATCTCTTGTTCTTAGCACGTCTCCAAGTCATTCTCTATGTATTAGATTTATCGATATTTTTAGTTTCATCACCTGTTCCTTCACTGGTATTGCTAGCTCTCGTTCCAATGATTACATAGTGTATTCTTGTCATGGCATCATGACCACGATCTTCCTGTACACATAAGTTGTAGAACAAAACTTGTTTATTCGTGACGAAGAACATGAAACCTGTATTCATTTATTGACCAAAAGTTTAATTTTTTCAATTATTTTAATGTGTGGGGGTTAAGCTTCAGCCACGGTATTGTTGCATTATGTATTTCGTTACATCACATTCCCTCCTGTACTTGCAAAAACAAATGAGGTGCATAAGAGTCTACGAAAAATAACACCTTCTTATTTTTCAGCTCAGACAGGTGACAGACAATGAAGTTGTTCTTGACAGTGTTGGTGGTCGCTTTCCACCAGGCGGCCGCTGCTAATTTGGTCAGTAATATGGTCTAGCTACATGTATGTTAATTACAAGTGTATGCAAATGGTATTAAATAATTTATAATCACAAGAGTGACATTGCAAGATTATATAATTAATCTAATTGATTAAAGTAATATAATGACATGAATAATTCTGGTCTGTGCACGATATAAAGGACCCGAATTTTGGTAGAGAATATATTAATTTTTTATTTATCCTGACAGTTCACTGCGTTCACTCGTAGCTTTGGGCCTCAGGAGGAGGTAACCTTCACCTCAGCCCGGGAGAACACAGTAAGTCTGCGCCCATTGTCTCTATCCCACACTACACTGTTGGTCTCGTCTCCTCTATCCCACACTACACTGTTGGTCTCGTCTCCTCTATCCCACACTACACTGTTGGTCTCGTCTCCTCTATCCCACACTACACTGTTGGTCTCGTCTCCTCTATCCCACACTACACTGTTGGTCTCGTCTCCTCTATCCCACACTACACTGTTGGTCTCGTCTCCTCTATCCCACACTACACTGTTGGTCTCGTCTCCTCTATCCCACACTACACTGTTGGTCTCGTCTCCTCTATCCTACACTATACGTTATTGTGTTGGTGAGGAATGTTGTGTGGTGTTGGTGGCTAGTGTGTGTGTGTGTGCGCGCGTTAAAGAAGTGTTGGCCTGGTGTTTCCAGTATATGTTAATGGGTGGTGCGAGGGTCTCATTCGTGACGAAGTCGTTCCAACGGGCGTCGTATATCCACCTCAGAGCCTTGTTCTGGATGCGTTGCAGTTTTGTTTTGTGTGCGCTACAAGCATTAGGGCTGCTGGGGCGTGTTGTGAGAGGGCGTAATAAAGCTTTGTATAGGTGTAACTTGGTGCAGGGGTTGTCTGCACCAAGTGTGTGTGAGGGGTGTGCTTGTTTTAGTCTGTACAGTCTGCGTAAGGATTTTGTTGCTTGTGGATGTTTTCTTACTGTGTGTATTCACCTAGTTGTGCTTGCGGGGGTTGAGCTCTGCTCTTTCGGCCCGCCTCGCAACTGTCAATCAGCTGTAACTACTATTTTTTTTCTACACACACACACACACACACACATTCCCAGGAAGCAGCTCCGTAACAGCTGTCTAACTCCCAGGTACCTATTTACTTACTGCTAGGTAACAGGGGCATCAAGGGTGAAAACTTTGCCCATTTGTTCCTGCCTGATCCGGGAATCGAACCCGGGCCACAGAATTGAGAGTCCTGCGCGCTGTCTGCTCAGCTTCCAGACCCCCCTGTCCAGCTCCAACATGGGGGGGTCTAGTAGCCCCATGTGAGTGTGTGCGTGTGTCCGAAGGTTATCACGGTTCAGTCTGGGGATGGTGATTGTGAGTAAAGACTGGCTGGTATTGTTAGCTCGTTTATTGTAGTAGAAGTATGTGATGTTAGATTTTGTCTAATTCGTTAGTATGACTGAATCCTCCAGTCGTGCTCCCATGTTACGTCGTGGAAAGTCGTCAATGCGTTGTGTGGTTATGAGTTGTGTCACGTCGTCAGCGTAGCAAAGCGCGAGAGATTTATGGTGGAGAGGGTCGGGTAAGTCATTACTGTACAGGGTGTAGAGTTGGTGCAAGACTAGAGCCTTGTGGGACCCCTGAGTGGAGAGGGAAGTAGTCGGTGTAGGTTTTGAAAACGGGTCCTCATCTGTCTGTCGTCCAAGTAGTTTCTTAGTAGGTCGTTGTTGTTGTTGCATAGTTTGTACTACAATGAATTATATAATGATTATATATAGTTACACCAGATATTTTGTAAGATAAGACTATCTTTAGCAGACACTCCTGTGAGTATTGCTCTCTCAGACTACACTAATGCCACATGCCTGAGCTCTTCTTTTTCTCTTGCTTTCTCTCTTTCTTTCTCTTTCTTTTTCTTTCTTTCTCCAAATGTAATGCCAGCAGCGGGCCGCCACCTGGGGGCGTCCATGGTACAATGGCTGTAGTTTTTTACAGACCTTCCCTGAATATACAGTTGTCTGGTGATAATGTGGAAGTCATAGAGTATTTTATATTCTACAGCTTCAGTGGTAACTATAATAGTAGTCAAATTCTCCCCCCCCCCCTTTTTTATTTACAATAAGAGGAAACTCATTTTACTGCAGTTTTATTATTATTTTCTACCACAGACGTGGCCACACATTTACAATGCTAACCACCATATATACATTTTCTTGTGGCCTCCATGGACAGTGTGAGAGATCTGTTAAACATGTAGTTCAGTGATTTATTGAACAACCACTGCAGACAGATGTGATTGTAGTGCTTTTAAACTGCTAATCTAACCTACATACATAGAGATTACTGCAGTGGGAGGTCGTGGTATAATTTCCCATCCTTCACCAGTATGGCGTGTCTGCTTGGATGAGGCTTTCTCGCCGAATATAAAATATATATTTTCCTCAGGTGGGAACAATTGGTTTTGTAACGGCTCTTCTTGAAGCATTTGAGGTAGGGATGAAGCGGAGGGATTTAGAAGCGTTTTGTCGTGGACAGAAAGCCCATATATATATATATATATATATATATATATATATATATATATATATATATATATATATATATATATATAATTTAAGGCCTTTATCGATGTCCCGGCAAGGTGGAACGACTGATCTTCCTCAGGATGCAACTCTACGACAGTTGCTTAACTCCTGCAAATCTCTAATTAGAGTTAGGTGAACAGGAGTATTATATGAAATGAAACTTGCCCATCCATTTGTCCCACCCGGAAATCCAACCTGGGATCCCCGGATTATGGGACGAGAAGGGATCCAGCTGTACAATACTTGTACAGTTGAGTTTTCTACACACAAAGCACACTACAGTGCAGTGCTTTCATAGTGACCAAATGCTTAATTAAGTAGAGGTGCTGCTTGCTATGAGTGGAGTTTATCGATCTAATTTCCCCACAAATTAAGTTCTAAACTTCATATTGCGGGGGGGGGGGGACTTTTGACAAGCAACCGGCTTTCTGTCCTCGTCGAGCCCACTGGTGTTTAGTGGCCCTCAGGTAATTACTGATTTGTGTAGCAATTATGTGCGGAATTATTGAGTTGTGGCTCCCCCGGCGCAGGCGGCGTAGGTGAGGTCTGCACACACTAGTGAATAAGTGTTATCAGGGCAGAGCAAGGTACGCAGTCTCCGCTCTTAAAGTATACCAGCAGTTCGGTATAGTTTATATATGACAATTGATGTAAACTTTGCCAATGTCACCAATGAATTTATGTCCTCTATCATTTTGGTTTATTTATAGTTCGATATAATAGGATGACTTATTTCTAGATAATGTTCAACGTTTCTTTGTGTTAAGAGTGAGTTCGTCAGCCACAAAGAATTTTGGGTGCAACATTTATTGTAGTTTAGAGTAAGTGGTTTAGTATTTGAGCAAATTATCAGCACACGGTAATGATTTGTTATGTAGCATGGTAGGTCATTGGTGTAAACCAATGAACGCCATTATTAACTGGCATAGTGAGAGCAGTGCGCTGTTCTCATTTTCTTAAAAATTTGCATCATGTACGTTTGATTGGGATTGCTTTAGCTACAGGGAGAATTGTCAACCTCCAAACACAATACGGAGATGTTGCTTCTTTACTCTAAAACTGTTATAAACATCGTGCAGGGTTACTAATTCACGTTCCCCACATCTGATCATATCTCCCTTGACCAAGCGTGTGACCGCCCGCAGGAGTTCGAGGAGCGGGTGTACCCGGCCAAGAAGTGGGCGTGCACGGAGCAGGTGGGCGGCTACTCTGACGGAGACCAGATCGATGTCTTCCTCAGACTCTTCGCTTACATCGGCGGAGAGAACGACAGACGTGAGTCTCCGGGAGTATTCAGGGGTCTTCAGGGGTCTCCGAGGGTTCCCAAGGACCTTCAGGAGTTTTCAGGCTGGCGTGCAAAACGTCCTCTCGAATTTTGATGTATAAATCTCATAAGGCCAAAAACTGATGCACTAAATATCATAGCGGTTCGCAAAATTGGCGTGATGTCCGGTTTTGTATTTATGGGTCGTCGGATTGGTCACGTTCGGGTAATTTGGTACATCAGATTAATAACGTTCAAACACTCGAGAGGACGGCTTGCTCTACTTCCTGTTTGTACATAAACGCCATCATTTTGTTTTCCCTGACTGATGCTTTAAAGTTATTTTCAGTTGAATTATATACAAATATTTATACAAGCGTACGGGAATAGGATGTGTGAAGAGTGGAGGACACATTGGTATCTTCTTGATGTTATCTCGAGACGATTTTGGGGCTTAGCGTTCCTGCGGCCCGGTCCTCGACCAGGCCTCCTTTTTGTTACATATCCCCAGGAAGCAGGCCGTAGCAGCTGTCTAACTCTTAGGTACCTATTTACTGCTAGGTGAACAAAAGCATCAGGGTGAAAGAAACTCTGCCCATTTCCGCCTTCGCCGGGGATCGAATCCGGAACCTGACTACGAATCTCAAGCGCTATCCACTCAGCCGTCAGGCTCCCAAATACAATGTATTTCACAGTACATCGACTACATTCACTACAAAATTTCGCTTTGGGCCTTTATATTTTGTGTGTGGTCAGCTTTCCCGTCTGCCATTAAACAAGAATAAATCTCATATTTTGTCACAGATGTAAAGTAAATAAAGTAAATTTTATTCAGGAAAGTACATACATAGTTGATTTACAAACATAATGTTGTATTTATAGATGGAGCTAGTACATACAGTACCTAAAGCCACTAATACGCAAAGCGTTTCGGGCAAAACGCGAATGTAATACATTCGTGGTCTTATCACCGGCGTCTTGGTGACCGTCAGAGTATTGACCACTCCGGAGCCACTTGTGGTCAGTAATAATAATAATTGGCTTTGTAGGAGGACAGGAATAAAGCCCGGGGATGTAATAGTTATTACAGATATTTTACATACATTATATAATATATGAAAGGGAGCTTGAATTCCTTTCCATAAATCACTAAGTCTGACACGACCAGGACTCGAACCTACGTAGCCAGAGTTCACCCTCCGGTGTACTCTGTATGCACCAAGTCCTCCTAAGGTTCCCCAACGTAAAGAAACTGTCGTACTAAAGTGCCCCTTATCCTACCAGAGGACCCGAAACAGAAAACGAGACAGTATGTCCATTTCGCGAGCCGCTTCAATTTTCTATTAAGACAATTTTTGCCTTTAAGTAGAGTATTCGTCAAGATGCAACGTACTTTTAGGAGGACGGGTTAGTGCGCATGGCGGGGACTGCTATGGGGGCGGCCCATCATGTGCAGCCGATGTGGCTGGCCCTGGAGCTGAGGACTCACAGCGAGGGATAAACAAAAGGGAACATGATCACGTGAATAAAGATTCTTAACCCTTGCAGAGCGCAAATCTCTTGACTCGGGTCATCGTAGTGCGTTTTTCTTACTTAAATTGGTATTGCAATTTTGTATATCATCTTCGAAATGAATCGACAAAAAAATAAGTTTTTTTTTTCCTTGTATGCATGGAATATAAAATTATAATACATTTTGACATCAGTTTCTGATATTTGGACAAACGTTACTCCTTTGATTTTAAGTTTCTGAAGAAAAAATGAGTGGAAAAAATGACAAAAATAGAAGTCAAATAATTGTAATATTTTTGGTTCCACATGCTCTTAAATTCTTCTAATTAATATGTTTGTGTATAACAAGGTTTATTGTAATAATAAATAATTCATTGTGTCGGGGGGGGGGTAATTCCCCCACCCCCCCTCAGGGTGGAATTACTGACCCTCCCCGGGATCCAACCTCACAACAAGCTGACTAATTCCTGGACTACCTATTTACTGCTAGATGGATAGGGGGGCATTAGGTGATAGGATATGAGCCCAACCATTTCTGTTCCGCCCGGGAGGGACTGAATTGCGAGTCAAGAACGAACCCAACTGTACTACCGGACCTAATACTTAAGTAATAATGCCCAAATATATGTATAATCGTGTAGGGATTTATAAAGCTTGAGCAAATTTACTTGAATTTATGTAATGACGAGATGCATGCCGTCATCTTAAAGTTAAAGACCGAGGTAAAAAAGTTTAATGTTGTGAGAGCAAGAGTGGTAGCTAGCGACGTTCACGGGTTTGTGCAGTAATGAAGAACTTTATTGTGTAAGCAGTGTTATGATTGTAATCAGCTAGTTGCAAATTGATCAGAAATTTTATGAACATGTAGAAATAATGTAGACATCCACTGTTCTAGTTGACCGACAAAACAATAGGAACGAGACTTTTAAGAGCTGAGGCTCGACTCTGAGCACAAAATTTGAGTAGCTCCTAACAAGTGTTACGTGTCTCAACAGAGGAGAAACTGGTGATGGGGATACCAGTGTCCATAGAGTACAAGGTCGAGGGCGGCCAGAAGGTCTACACCGCCTGCTTCTTCATCCCCGAGGCTGCCCAGGACAACCCTCCCGCCCCCACCAACGCCCAGGTCGTCATCACTCCCCGCCCGGAGATGACTGTGTACACCAGGTATGTCGGCCTGCTGGGAAAGGGGGGGTTCAGGCTGCTGGGGCCTGCTGGGAAAGGGGGGTTCAGGCTGCTGGGGCCTGCTGGGGGAGGGGGTTCAGGCTGCTGGGGCCTGCTGGGGGAGGGGGTTAAGGCTGCTGGGGCCTGCTGGGGGAGGGGGTTCAGGCTGCTGGGGCCTGCTGGGGGAGGGGGTTCAGGCTGCTGGGGCCTGCTGGGGGAGGGGGTTCAGGCTGCTGGGGCCTGCTGGGGGAGGGGGTTCAGGCTGCTGGGGCCTGCTGGGGGAGGGGGTTCAGGCTGCTGGGGCCTGCTGGGGGAGGGGGTTCAGGCTGCTGGAACCAACTTTGGCACTTATTTATTATTATTGAATTATTTATATAAAAGAAGGTACATCGGGTTGAGAGTGCATAACACTGGTACGTAACTTCTGCCACCTGGAGAGGTGCACGTCCTGGATCAGAAGTTGCTTTATAATAATAATAATTAATAATAATAATAATTTTTATTTAGGTAAAGGTACACACATAAAGAGATTTTACAAAGTTTGTTGGCTTTATAGATAGAGCTAGTACATACAATGCCTAAAGCCACTATTACGCAAAGTGTTTCGGGCAGGAAAAAACACTAATGACTAAAGCTTAAAACTAATGGGTAAAAAGAATAAATTGTGTTGAATACAAATAAAAATAGAGGTAAAAGAGGGGGGAACATTGTTGAAAAAGCAGCACAAATACAATTGCAAATTATTACAGAAAATTACATTAAAACAGCGTTGATTTGAAAAACAAAACAAAAAAAAAAAACATACATGGGTTGACAACAGAGGGGTAAGGTAGGTTACAGGGAATTTATTAGGTATAGCTTCGTTTTTAACTTAAACTGGTTGAGAGAGGTACAGTCTTTAACATGGTTGGGAAGGTCATTCCACATTCTGGGCCCCTTGATTTGTAGAGCATTTCTGGTTTGATTAAGTCGTACTCTAGGAATATCAAAACTGTATTTATTTCTGGTGTGGTGCTCATGGGTTCTGTTACAACCTTCTATGAAGCTTTTGAGATCAGGATTGGCATTATAGTTTAGCGTTTTATATATGTATAATACACATGAGAGAATGTGCAGTGACTTAATGTCTAACATATTCAGAGATTTGAGTAGGGGTACCGAGTGATGTCTGGGGCCAGAATTGGATATTGTCCTAATAGCAGCTTTGTGTTGAGTAATTAGAGGACGTAAGTGATTTTGGGTAGTAGAGCCCCAAGCACAAATACCATAGTTGAGATATGGATAGATAAGGGAGTAATAGAGAGTCACCAGGGCAGGGCGTGGTACATAATATCTGATCTTAGAAAGAATGCCCACAGTTTTTGAAACTTTTTTTGATATGTTTAGAATGTGTCCCTGGAAATTCAGCTTGTGGTGAATGAGAATGCCAAGGAATTTGCCATCTAATTTGTTACAAATTTGGGTATTGTTTATTTTGAGATTTATTTGATTTGAGGATTTATTGCCAAACAGAATATAGAAAGTTTTGTAAATGTTAAGGGTGAGTTTGTTGGCAGTTAGCCACAGATGGACTTTATTTAGCTCAGTATTTACTGTGGCATTTAGAGCAAGGGGATCAGGACTGGAGTAAATGAAGGTTGTGTCGTCAGCAAATAGAATTGGTTTGAGGTGTTGGGAGGCATTTGGAAGGTCATTAATGTAGATGAGAAAGAGGAGAGGGCCAAGTATGCTGCCCTGGGGAACACCAATGTTGATGGGTAGGGTGGGAGAAATTGTATTATTCACAGAAACACATTGGAGCCTGTCAGTAAGGTAGGATTTGAGGTATTGTAGGGAGTGTCCTCTGACACCATAATGATGTAATTTAAGAAGAAGGTTTTGGTGGTTGACAGTATCGAAAGCTTTACGCAGGTCCACAAATAACCCAACAGGGAACTCATTTTGATCAAGAGCTGTATGAATCGAGTTAAGCATACTAATAAGTGCATCGTTAGTGCTTTTTTTGGGCCTGAAGCCATATTGGCAAGGGCTAAGTATATTGAGTTTGGCTAGATATGAGTAAAGCTGCTTATAGATTAGTTTTTCAAAAATTTTTGACAAGTTTGGCAGGATTGATATAGGTCTGTAGTTGTTAACATCTGTGAGATCACCACATTTGTGGACAGGCGTTACTCTCGCTTTTTTTAGAATATCTGGAAAGGTTTGGAGTTCAAGTGACTTGTTGAAGAGCAAAGCAATAGCAGGGGCTAAAGATCTGGAGGCTTTTTTGTAGATTAAAGTTGGTATCTCCTCAAGGGCACCAGACTTGGTTTTAAGGGAAAGGATTATCTCATTGACGTCAGTGGAATTAATAGGCTTTAGGTACAGAGACTGTGGATAGTTCCCTGTAAGATAGTCCTTAATGTCAGTACTGGAAGATGGAATATCATTAGCTAAAGTAAATATAAATACACTACACTAAAGTAAATATAAATCTTAGTCTGCAGCTCAGTCTCCTGCCCCAGTGTTACAGCAGACCGTTCTCTTAATGTGCCACAACGTACAAATACAAAGTGCTAACCTAACCAGGAACATACGAACCCAAGCAACCCACCAGACCTAATCTACCGATGTGTAAAAAACGTTGATGTTCGTGAGTCGCAACGTTTCATAGTACTTTGCAATTTTCACGTGCTGGCAGAGATGCCCGGCTGCTTCCACTACTTGTGCTCACCAAACGGAGTCGCCACATTCCTACAACATTAATATTTTATTTTTAAATACATATTAAAACTGTTATGATCTCATGTGGACTAATGTTTGACTAAATTTAACCAACTGGTCCAATTGACTATAGAAGTTAAATGTGTGCGTTGATCAACAGAAAGTTCGGAGGATACGCGACGGACGAGGCTACGTGGACGACAGAGGCAGAGGCCCTCACCGCCCTGGTGACCGCAGCTGGTAACCAGATCAACCCCAACCTCATCTACTGGTTAGTTGCTATACTCACTACAGCCTTCACTCATGATGCATTCATTCACACACACCTCCCATGATGTAGGGTTCTATCCTCGTTGACGCAGGTTCTTCTGCGACACTTAATCTTGTATTGCATTATCGAAGAGACAAAAATTCATAATCAGACGCCCTTATTAGACTTTAATTCTTGATGAAGCTTGACTGCATAGTCCGTAACTAGTATAGGAAAGGGAGGGAACTCTTGTACTGTCGGATAAGAGTGGGAAGGTGTGGGAGTGTGTCTCCCAAGATTCTCCCACAGCTGACTTGTATGGCTCATTGCAGTGCACAGTGCACTGATCTTGTGCACAAACCTATCTCTCTTAACCCTGGATAGTGACCTGGCATGTTGGGTATCTCCAGAATGCCCATTTAACCAGGAACACTTTTATAATACGGAGGCTGCCGTATGTCCAGGCAGGAAGTAGATACAAGGAGTTAAGCATAATTGCCACCAAGGGTCAGTGGGTACATTGGCCGGTGGGAGCGTGGGACAGAGGGGAGACGCCAGCAGCGTCTGACCTCTGGGGTCAACCAGCGTGATAGAAAATAACAGCTATGACGTGGTCGTGACGTGTTCATGACGTCACTCCTGCTACTGATCATCGAACGTTCAATGTGATTGGTTCCCGCTCATTTGCTGCAATGCTATTGGTCAAATTGTAACTCTTTGTGTTGGGTGCCCACGAGACGCCCTGAGCTTCAGGCAAAAGCATTCTCGTGAGGGATCTCTTGCAAAGAGGACGTGTAGCTGTTCTGTCTATCGGCCAATAGACTGAACAACCGTCCATTCCTCACTGTCAAGTTAACTCAGCACCTAGAAAAATATACCACACACTCGCCCAGAATCACGAGTATGAATATATTGTTCAGAAGCCTAAAGTGACAAATCTCCAGAGCGAAACAGACTGGTATCAGGTAACCCCTGGTGACAAAGATCGTTGTGAGTGACTTAGGAGGCGGCACTGCCTTAGTTCACGCTAAGTAACCTGTGTGTGACTTTACCACAAGTGTACCTGCATGGTACCACAGCTGCCACTCGTCCTGAGCGTGTACCTCAGTACCTCGAGGCGCCCACCGCTGCCCTCACTGTACCACGTGACGTCACCACCTTACTCACCGCCAGTGCCAGTGTGTGTGCGCGTGTGTGTCTGTTAAGCATACAGCACGCCCTCCTGCAGTACCCCGTGTCAAGTACGGATTGTGGGAAGCCTGTCGTCAATGGTCTCACGTCAGAACGAGCGCCCAGCTGTCAGGCCACCTACGAGTTCTTGCATAAATGTACCTGAGTGAGTGAGTGAGTAAGGAAAGGTACCTATCTGTAAGTACAAGATCTTGTCATTGTTTTATTGTGTCTGTGTTGATCTGAGGTATCAACCACAGTTCTCACCTTCTCATACCTGTCACAGGTCATAGGTGAGTCGACGGTGAATGCGTGTTTATCTGTGTGGTATCACGGCATTTCACTAGTCTGTGAATGTGATCTTCACATACACCACACATTTAGTTATTGTGTGACACTAGTATTGTGCATGTTATTGCCTGTCCCATTGACAGTGCCATTGTGTTTATTGCATATCATCATTGCCGAGTATCCGGGTGGAACTCTTGTGATCCCTTTGCATACCGGCAGTTAGGTTGCTGTGTTAATGATTAGCTGTCAACTGTGTCAAGTTAGGTGTTTCGCCATGAGTGGATACGAGTCGTTAGCCAGACGTCAAGAGTCTCGCTAACATAACCATAGCTTTGCTGACGCCAATCTAAAGTAAATCAAGCACCCTGTGTATTAGTGGTTAAGTTAGTAAATAAACTTCTGTTAAGCTTGTGCACAAGATCAGTGCACTGTGCACTGCACTGAGCCATTCAAGTCAGCTGTGGGAGAATCTTGAGAGACATACTCCCACAGAAGGAAATTGGATGGATGTGAGGCGCCAAAACCAGGAAGTGTCAGTCAGGAGGTGGTTGAGGCGACTATCTTAAGACACGACATTGTGTAGTGATAGTTGGTGGGCAGAGCTGCAGTCTCAGATCTCAGGGTAAAAATTATAGTATCAAAATGCCTGAAATAAATCAATATAAAAAATAATTGTAATCTGCAAACATGAGATTGCCACTTGGAACAGAATTTAGCGTTGTGATCCAGCACTATCTAAACTTTCTGGATTAAGTTCATCAAAAACTAACTGGCGTAAGTCAATTAAATAGGATACCTCCTCAACTATATAAATAATAAAGGTAAACATCAATAGTATGAATATAGTTCTCGCATTTATTAACGAACCAGACGTCTTAAGCGGAGCCACTCTCACAAGAGATCCTCGTGGACCCCTGTCATGTTGTACACCGCGAGTGAACGACATGGAAGGAAATGCAGAATAGAACCAGTGAAGAGCAGAGGTGTCATGGAGAAGATCAGAGAACACTGCATGAATATCAGATGTCCACGGTTGTTCAATATCCTCCCCAGCAAGTATAACAAATATTGCCGGAACAAAAGTAGACGTCTTCAAGAAAATTGGACCTCTTTTTTTTCTGCAAGAAGTGCCGGTCCAACCAGGCTGTAGTGGACATGTTGGCCTCCGGGCTGTTCCAAGCAACAGACTGTTGGACCAAGCTCTCACAAATCAAACTTGGCTCTGTGCCAGGCGCTTGGGGAGTAGAAAAACTCTCAGAACCAGGTACAATCCAGGCCATATGGAACAGTGGTAGGTGTGGCCATCTTGGACCCAGGCTCGAGGCATGCATTACTCTTCCAAAGTAACATTTCGTTCCCTGGCCACGGCCTTGACACGGGGAAAGATTTTGCGGACTTAGTTGACCTGGAAGACGTATATGGTTCCAATAATTTAAATGTTTTATAGAGTTGGTTCTAGCAGTAAAAGATAATTACATATTCGCCTGGTCAGCATTTTCTCCCGTTTCCTATTTTTTTCTATCATTTTCTCTCCTAATTTTTTTTTCTTTTTCGCCTTTGCTTACTTTTCCGTTTACTCTCCATTCCTTCTCTGCATAGGTTAAGTTTTCCTTCCATCTCGTTGAAAGCTGCCGGTAGCCGTGTTCATATCTTGCTTCCCAACACACCCTACCTCCTCGCTCCAAATAATGAGACTTCCTCGTCTTTAGTCTCGACATGCTAATGGTCCTAGACAACCCACAACATCATCTAACATTTCATATGGGTTGTTTCTCTATCCAAATTATCTTTGTATGTAGTTTTTAATTATTGTTTAGCAGTGTACCTAAATTGTTCCTTATATTGAAATGCTGCTAATGCTTGCAGTGTCACAATGTACATCCCTGGATATTGTACTCTTACAGCTTCCTGGCCTCTAATTGTGCCCATGTTTCTGTTGGTGCAATGATGTCCTCACATTCTCAAGAGGCTAATACTTTAAATTATTTGTTCGTATCACTGCTGCTGCTAGCACAGTAAACTTGCTCTTTGTTTACTTCTGGACTAACTTTCATTTACCAGTAATTTCCCTATTCTTATTTTCCATAACTTCTGAACACTTATGTCTATGACCCTCATTTTTCCCCTTTCTTCCTCATACGTCTGTCTGTTAGCGGCATAAACCTCGTTAAACCCTCCGAACTTGTGCCTGTTCAAAGGGCTTAACCTATACCCTTAGATAACTGTACCCCCATTATTGCATAAATGTCATTTCTCATTTAAATGGTCTCAGTTGTCTATATTTCACTGGCTTTACAAAACTTACCAACTTGGCAATTTATGCCAACTTGGTCTTGACAACTATTCACTACCCACACTAGAAAGACTGCCACACAGGACTGGGAGTTAAGCTTTGCTAACTCCATGACTGTCCGAAGTTTCTGTAATAGCGCCATTACTTACCCTACATCAGCTCAACGGTCCCACAAGACACACAATATGCCTGACCCTTTTCCCAGTCATGATGTCTATCAATAATGTCTCCTACTTCTGCCTTTTATATACCACAAATGTCGATAATAATTGTAATATTTTAACATGATATACTTTTCCAGGAACGCCTACGACCCTCCTTTCAAGTTCTGGAACAGGAGAAACGAGGTGTGGTTGTTGAAAATATAGAGGAGTGTCCTCACAGCCCTGGCTCGACCACTCTCGCTTCAACCTTACCCCGTCTCAAGGGAGTTTTAGAGAATAAAGAAAAGTAGCACTTAAGTTCAGCGTGAACTGTAGCAATATACCTAACCTTTTTACCTGTGAATTTATTATCTAAGATATCAGGATAAGACATTTTTAAAGCGTTGACAGTATGTACCATTTTCCCTAGCCAGGTGTTAACTTTCTCTCTCCTATTGACCTGGGAAATTTTCTAGCGTCGCGTTGATTGTTCTCTGCTAGCGTTTACGTCTCTCACATGAACACTGTGAACCAGCCACAACCATTATACTTGAAATCTAGACATAAGATGGTTAAGGACCATAAAAGATAGAGTTCATGAGCATAATAATAACAATAATTTATTTGCAAGAAGGCACATTGGGTTGGTGAGATTACATAAGATTGGTATTTGTAAATTCTTGCAAAACCACTAATACGCATAGCGTGTTAGTGGCTTTGAATCATAAACTATTAGGTTCATTTAGGTACAAAACTCGGGTGCCTTGATCACAATACAATAGAACAAGTCATTGTGATGTTACTATCTGTGCCTTGAGACACCATAATCTTTATTTATCCTGATCCTTTTCGACCGACGATAATTAATAGATGCAATATGGATCAGTTTTAACAATTGTTACGGTGCCTGGCATGTCTTAAAAAATAATTGCAATAACCCTTCAGAACTAAACTTTATAATATTATGTATACCTTTTTATACAGTATCCGGGCTTGTGTAGCAGCCATTTGTGTAAAGACGGGAGGGGTTGGATGGAGCAGCTGAGGCCAGCAACCTGTCAAAGCCCAACATGGGGCCAAGCCTCCACCCTGTGTTACTAGGGGAAGGGAATGATTGTGACGCTAGGCTGGTGCAGATCTTCATGTAAATAACAATAGGCATCTCTTGTAAATTCGTTTGAATGTTACTTTTCGAAAAGGTGCAAATTTTTTGAGGAATTATAATGATTTACGGTTCATGTGTATTATATACATTTTGTATTATTTTTTCCCAAATATAAAATGCAAAGTTGTTTACAAAACAGAGTATTTTATACACCAGGACGTCCCGCTTCGTGTCGCCTTGAAGGGGAGAAAGATGGCAAGCCCAGCCCAGAGTTTGTATGCGGAAACGGACCATTAATTTTTACAAGAGCACTGTGATCGGTGTAGAAAAGTTTCTAGATATCAATTCAATGCAATTTCTTTCTTTATTATGCACCCCCATACCCATCCCGTAGGCGGTGGTAGAAAGAGTTACAGAGGCACATAATGGGTTCAGGAACTGAACCCAATAGTTCGTTTAGCTAAGCAAGTGACAATCTTTGAAACTAGTTACTCAATTGCTAATGTTACATACGTGTACATTATATATATATAATACATATATAATATATATAATATATATAATTATATATATATATTATATAAAATTATATATAAAATTATATATGTATATATAAAATTGTGTATATATGTATGTCGTACCTAGTAGCCAGAACGCACTTCTCTGCCTACTATGCAAGGCCCGATTTGCCTAATAAGCCAAGTTTTCATGAATTGTTTTTCGACTACCTAACCAAACCTAATCTATAAAGATAGGTTAGGTTAGGTTAGGTAGGGTTGGTTAGGTTTGGTCATATATCTACGTTAATTTTAACTCCAATAAAAAAAAATTGACCTCATACATAATGAAATGGGTAGCTTTATCATTTCATAAGAAAAAAATTAGAGAAAATATATTAATTCAGGAAAACGTGGCTTATTAGGCAAATCGGGTCTTGCATAGTAGGCTGAGAAGTGCGTTCTGGCTACTAGGTACGACATGTATATATGTATATATATGTATATATGTATATATATATATGTGTATTCGTTTGCCTTGTTCGGGTTAAATGCAGACACAGTAGTCGCTTCTGTATATTTATTGACAGAGACAACAAGGTATATATCTGGCCAGCCGAGGTTCACCTACTCTGAGTCTGTGAGGATAACTGAGCCTGCTCCTAGCATGGCTGATGCTCCTCTGTCTGGCATGACGTCAGAGGCCTACTTGCCTGTGATTGGTTATGTTCCAACTGATATAGAATTTGAGTATAACACCGCTCGGACACGCTACCAAGTCGACGTCCCTTGTCGACAAGCTGTGGCTAGCTATATAGTTACAATGATACTAAAAGGACCTCGGTGGCATTCAATAATGGCTTACATGTGAAATTTGCATAATAAAACATTTAAAGAAGATCAGGTGTGCGTAATACTAACAACTCGACATATGCACCAAAAAAAAATCATCATAATAGGTGAAAATCATGGTAACAATGCTTTGATTAAACCAGAGTATTAAGAACATGTGTATGTCTACTGATCAGATATGAACAATACAACTCAAGGTATTGCCTAAACAAAATTATTAACATGTGTCAATGGCATGTGCTTGAAAACCATACAAAATTAAACAATTATTGCATTAATGGCACAAAGTTCTGACCTAACAAACACAAATGAATTTTAAGATTAGATAATGATTTTTTTTTTTGTTTCAATGTACAATATATTTACAAGACCAATGTACAATATATTTAATGTTCAATATATTTACAAGCTATATACAAGACCTGGATCAAGAAGACTAACATCTCCGTGATAGCAGTCAGGATTCACTGGCCACAATCTGGTTGCTAGAACAATAATAACTCTTATGACAAGCACTGTAAAAATACAAATGGTAGTAGACATAACAATGGCATCTAATTTATAACAAAATAAAGTTGAGAAAAACTATACATTATATATAATGGTAATAATAAGACATGTGTTAGAAATACTGCAAATGAATTTTTTTTTTTTTTCCCCAAACAGAATAACTGCAAAAGTGCACTCAATTATAAATTCTGCGGATATCTACACCTAGCTCATCCAGAGCACTATACAACTCTGGCTCTGACTGAAGGTCCGGAACAGATGAAACTTCATGTGACAAACTATCATCTTGAGAGATATCCTCGTTAACATCTAGCCAATGGACATGTGGTGAGTGCACGGTTGAAACGAGAGGTCTAGATCTAAGATTATAATTGCTAGTATGGGGTTGCTGAACATCCAGTGGTCTGTCAACCACAGAAGGTGGTGTCCGAGTAGGAGTATCTGTCTGGGTAAGTTCATTGTCATCTTCCTCATCAGTCTCGTCAACAGTCATTTTAGCTAACTTCATATGGTCTATATGTTCACTTATATACTCTCCTGTTACTAAGTTCTTCAGTCTGTACTTGTTACCTTTGATAAGCTCGGTTATCTTATATGGACCCAAAAATTTCTTAGTTAACTTGTACATAGGACCAGACCTGTGTTGGTTAAGTATCATTACTACAGATCCAATAGTTATTTTACTGGGTTTAGCTCGTGTATTCCTTGCTAGAGTGAACTCGGCTGTAGCTTTGGACAGTTGTTCACGTATTTTCTTGAATACTAATTGCATTTGTCTACGCTTCACTTGGACAAAATCATGTACGTTATATAAGGGAGTAAGAGGTACGTTAATCAATTCATTAGGGAGGATCTTATCTGTACCATAAAGAATAGCGTGAGGTGTGTCACCTGTAGAAACAATAATTGAAGAATTTATAGCACACTGAATTAAGGGTATAAAATCATCCCAATTGTTGTTATCAAAATTCAACGTGACTCTCAAGGCATCTAACACTTTCCTGTTAGTACGTTCGGCTTGTCCATTACTTGCTGGATTATAAGGCATGATGCTACATTTTTTGATGTTATATAAATTACACAAGCTAGTTAAAATACTATTACTGAATTCTGGACCATTATCTGAAAGGATTACTTTAGGCATACTATATCTACAAATTATTTGGTCATGGAATGCACTGGCTATAGTTTCTGCTGTTTTGTTCGGGATAGGAACTAGTTCACAAAACCGTGAAAAATTATCGACCATTACAAGCAAATGTTTGTTCCCTTTCTCTGTTTCCGCAAAATTTGTAAATAAATCCATCGATATTCGTTCCCAAGGAGCTTTAGTTGCTGGGTACACCTGAATTGGATTAGGTCCTGAAACATGTCCCTTGTGCTGTAAACAAGTTAAACATCTGTCAACATAATGAGCAATCTCCTTAGCCATTTTTGGCCAAAAATACTTCAATCGACCTTGTTGGAGTGTACGATCCTTTCCTGGATGTGCACTTGCAGGAGCATCATGGATAATTTTTAACACAGTTGGTACCAAGACAGCTGGAACAACTAACTGACATTTCCTCGGGGCTGTCCCTAGCTTTACTATACACAGTAAATTGTCCAACATAACTAATTCTTTCAATGGTACTGGTGGTTTATGAATTGGGCGAGTGTCTTGCTTAGTCAAAAATTTAATGACGGGTGCCCATATGGGGTCTTGTCTCTGTTCCGTTTCTACTACTGTAGCATCTAATGCTGGGTAATTTAACTGAATCGCAGCTACGTGTCGAGAAAACGCATCGGCTACAACATTTTGCTTCCCTGGAATATATCCAAATGTGGGATTGAATTCTTGAATTGTGAGCAAATATCTAGCAAACTTTCCAACTGAATTCTTATTTTTGAACAAGGGAATTAATGGTTGGTGATCTGTAAGAACATGAACTGGGTAATTATAAATTGTATCCTTGAAATGTTTAAGTGCCCAGACAACTGTCAAGGCTTCTCATTCTGTTGCACTATAATTTTTCTCTTCTTTAGGTAATGTACGGCTAGCATAAGCTATTGCGTGATCTCTGTGACCTTCTGTTTGAAGTAATGCAGCACCTAAACCTATGTCACTAGCATCTGTAACCAACGTAAAAGTGTAACACCGCTCTATTGTAACACCGCCACTAAAATGCACCACTATAATGGAACACCACTAGAATGGAACACTACTTATCCTGAGTAACACTTCCTCATCGGTTGCACTTGATAACACTGTTATGAGCTGACATATGATGGTTACACCGGAACCAAAGGTACACTGCCAATAAGGAAATGCTAACACAAGGATTAAATACGCTGCCACCATCTGCCTTTGACCATTGAAACTATATCAAGCAACGAAGCAAGAAACATTGCTTGACTAGGAGAGTACTTTCTATGTCATTAATTATGAGAACGGTTGTTAGCCACTATATCCAAAAGGCTAAGAGGATTCAACAATTGACACAGACGGGAAATTTATCCTGAGTTTATTAAAAACCAAAATTATGTCAATCAACACTTATAAATCCTACTCTAACACTAGCAAAAATTTAAGAAATTTGGACATGGAACAAAAACTCAGAGATCACACACATTACCTTAAGACCTCTGTCTCTCCCTGGCTGAGATGTTCTTCACAGACCCGCTCTCAATCCCGGTGTACTGCACTCCGCGTTCCCTAAGTCCCTAGAGGACCTCTATATACAACCCCCACAGGGGGAGGGGGAGATCTGCTGTTGCTACCCACCAAGAATGTACAAACACTCAAGAAATATTTCAATAAGCTTGTTTGACATTTACCATACACTCTTCAAGAGAGGAGTTATTAATTACGTGTGTGGCTGACCTCTGACCTGGCCAAAAGGGGGAGAACCAGGGATGTTTACACATTAGAGACTGGAGTCTAATGCCCTTGCCTGAAATATTACATACTTGAAACTATGCTGACTAAGACTAACCCAGGAATTTTTAATCAATAAACAAGATAAACTGGAGGTCATCTGGGCTGACCTCTTGGAGAAGGCTTCCCTGGGTGTGAACTCTTAAGGGGGGGGGGGAAGTCCTGGGTGTTACAAAAGGTTTAGAAAAATCTGGGTACCTAAGGACAGGTGACGAAATCAAGGCTGCTTTGAGTTTTTTGAATGACTGATCCTGGGCCTCTCCCCAAACAAAGGGTTCATCTTTTCTTTGCAACTTGTATAGCGGAGCGGCTATAATAGAGAATCCAGCAATAAATGAACGATATGTAACGGTTCTATTGTTACGTAA